AGGAATTCAGGGAGGTAAGTGATTAATTTATCATCCAAATGCAGCACTGAGAATATCATTCTGTTATTTAAATCTGAAAATATTGCTTCATCTCTTAATGCATCTTTCCTTCCCATCTTGTCGAAAGAAAATCTTGGTGGTTGTACCATCCAAATCCCATATTTATCACATCTTAATAAAAACTCTACAATGGACAATACAATCAGTGGACTTCATTTTTTTTTTTTTCATTTTTCCTTGTGTGCATGTGCTAAAGTTGATTTCAGGTGACCATTCCACTAATGTGCATACAGCAGTAAACTTTATGTAAAAATCTGTGTTGTAAGTAAGTATATACTAAGGTCTAAAAAAAAGGAAATTGGTATGTACAACATTAAGGTTCTAGTGTTACATATTGTTTATCATTATTTATAATCAAAAAATGATGATAAATAAAATTGCCACTAAAAGACCACTTGATTTTGAAGGGTACTTTCCCTGGCACATGCAAGCAGGATATAATTTGAGATAAAACTTATGAAAGCAAAAATTCTGTATTTTCTTTCCTCTACTTGTGGGATTGTCTCTCTAAACAACTTTCATCTTGTGCAAGAACAAGAGTTTACTTAGTAGTGTTTTGGCAGACTTGGAGACTCCACCTTGAGTTTGTTTACTTGTGTTATGTAAGTTCACAGACTTGCTAAAGCACAGATAAAATAATGAATATTCTCTCCTATTCCTCCATCTTTACCCTGAAAAAAGGAGTGTTTCATTATTTAGCCTTCCATTCTATTTGAAAATTAACTTTGCCATCTTTACCATCTGAATGTAAAAGTTATTTCTAAAATTCCTATTCTTCAGGGGGAAAAAAGAGATGAAGATATGTATTTCTAAAGGGAAACTCAAGGAAAAGATAGTTCTGATTTCCTTCAGTGTTCCCCAGGGTTTAAATGTCCTGAATGCCCATCTTGGCTCTCTGAAGGCTGGTGGGGACTCAGTTTTTGCACTGCTCTTCAGAGCTCAGTGCTTTTAGCCAGGCCTTCATTTTTTTTTTCCTCTCAACAAGCTGAATTTTCCATGTTTCTCCTGCCTTGTGCTCCCCAGTGCCTAAAACAGAGATCCAATTATCTCAGCCCTGCAGGCACAGCTTAGTGGTGTGAGATTTGTCCAGGCTTTCTTGGCCCTCAGGAAAGGGAGACAGCAAGCAAAAGTATTAAATAGAAATCTGTCATGTTTTAGCATATTGCATGGGAAATTAGAAGAAACCAGCAAATAAAATAAAGCAAACAAACAAAGGCTAAAACCTGACCTTAAATAAAGGGAATCAAATAATTTACATCTCAGAAGATGGTTTCAGTCATTTCACCTCAGCCCTCAGTTTGAACTTCTGAAGCTGTTTTGGCAGCCATGAAGGATAAAATATAAATTTGGCAGAGCACAAGGGTTCCCAGGTCATAGTGCATTAACTGGTTTGGTTGTTTTCCTTCTCCAAGTTTAATTACTGTCATGGAAATGAGTGGAAGTGGCAATGCAGTACAGTAACCACCACTGCAATGGAACTGGTGTGAAATATTAACATCTGCCTTTAGGGCCCCTCTCTTTTCTTCCCCCTTCCCACTCCCCCAGTGCTCCTATCTAAATTAATGTAAAGTAACTAGTTGAGAGACTAATTATTTAAAAATTCCCTGAGGAGAGGGGAAATCTTCATGTAAGCAAAAATATGGTCAGCAATATTTACCAAAGCAGTTTCGCTCCCTGTTTTTAAAATCTGAATTTTGCTACTACACAAATCCCACTCTAAAATCCTTTTTAAACTGAAGGATTTCTTCTTTGACAGAGTCTCCTGAAGATGTGGCTCCAACAGTTGGGTTTTCCAAAATCAATCTCAAACAGGGACGCTTTGAAGTCACCATCTTTGATTTAGGAGGTGGAAAACGGATCCGGAATATCTGGAGGAATTATTATGCTGAGTCCTACGGTGTCATATTTGTGGTGGATTCCAGTGACATTGAAAGAATGGAAGAAACAAAACAAGCCATGACAGAAGTGTTAAAAAGCCCAAAGATATCAGGAAAACCTGTGTTAGTGTAAGTAGCTTAATAAATGTTCTCCTAATAATCTGATAGTGGGTGAATTTAGACCTAAAGAACTATTTCTGTAACTAATACTGCTGGAACTTTAGCACTAACTAATATTGCAGTTAGTTTTATGGTTTTATGTTTTATTTTATCCTTCTCAGAGATATTTATTTCTCTCCTTTTTCATTAGCCATAGAAAAATAACAAGGTGAGATTTTTTTTAACACTTGAAAATTCTAATATTACTTGAAATACTAGGTTAAAAGGCTTTATAAATTTGGCATGGCAACATGATGCAAAAATATTGTTGCTACTTATGCCTACATCAATTAATTAAATGGTAAGTGGTTGATTATACTCAGCAATAGGGTGATCTCTCAGCAATAAATGTCTTATTTACTTAATACATGGTGCTGCTGATATATGATCAACAAAATCTCATTAAAGGAGGCTTGCTTTAATTATTTTGGGCACTCTTTTTAATAGAGTTTGTAAAAATATTGGAAAGAACATATTTTTTTTTAATTCCACACCAAAAATATTCGCTAACAAATATGCTTTTGAAGTTAAAATATAAACTCTTAAATTTTAAAATGGTTTGTCAAGTCAGTATCTTCATATCTGGTGAGCATAAGACCTCCATAATGCAGAAATTGCACAACATCCCCGTGATATCATAAAGAATCTGTACAGGTAAGAGCAGAGACCTCTTATTTTTAAGAAATAGTGATGCTCTGCTGGTTTGAAGCTGAGCCTGGCTAATTGTGTTGATGAAGTGCAGGGTAGTTCAGCCAAGTAATGGTGTATATGTTGAAAATAGATTAGATTTTACCTTTCACTGCTCTGCATGTTACTGGCACAGGCAAGGCAATAAAGCCAGCTTAGTTTAACTGAAATAAAAATGCAGCTGGGACTGTGGGAAGCTGTGCTGTGTTCTTTAATTAAATACAACTTCATGGGGGGTTTTGGGTTGTATTTTCATTTTGTTGGGTTTTTTTTTTTTTGGGGTAGAAATCTCTATAATCCTATAATGGAGTTATATTTGTGTGGCTGAGTGGAGCTGCAGAGACTTTATTCACTTGCCTGGATCTTGATATTGCTTTTTGATCCTTATCAGTAGCTAATCAGAAGGCAGAGTGTATTTATTGAGTGCTCTAATGCTTACTAAACCAAGTTTGTTGATGTTACTACTTTTTATTAGATTAAACTTCAAGCCTTTGATCAGAATTTGCTTTTGCAGTAGCCCAATTCTGTGGAGGGATCCAGAAGTTCTTTGGTTTATGCTCCTGTGTGACTCTGCCTCTTGAGTTAAGAACTCTCTCCTGTATTGTCAGATTTCCTAATTTATGCTGAAAATTAGCTTTTTAAAATATAAATTTTAATGTTCAGATTTTGTTTGTGGGCTTTTTGGTTTTGTTGGGTTTTTTTTTAAGACCTACTTCTACCCATGAAGCAAGAAGTTCCCCAATATCTTGCTACATTTTTTAATTGGTGCATTTTAATCCGTGCAGAATAGGCTGAATTGCACAATGTGGACATAAAATTGGTGCAAAATACTCTACCTTACAGAAATGTGGAATATGAGAAATCTGATGTTTAGTGTGGTGTTTTCTACAAATTTTAATTGCTGCTCTCCCATGTTGTTATTTATTGCTGCCCATGGAGGTGTCACAGAAGCATTTTAAGACAATTTTCCTCAAATGTGATAGTATTGTCTTTTACTGTTTCTTAGTATAGATTACACAGAGATGTCCAACTTGTCATTTGGGTTTTTTTACTGTTCAATGTTATCACCTAATTTATGTTTATGGGTAAATTCTTCTGGCAGCATCCTCAAGACTAGTGTACAAGTTTAAATTTTCTTCACTTAGGATTATTTTTATTCTTTCTTTTATCAGAAAGGACCACACAGACATCATATTATGCAGGCAAATCCTGGATTTTTTTTGGGATTAGTTGTGTTTGTTTGGAGTCTTTGTTTTGGTTTTGTTTTTTTTAATTTAAGTTGACATGAAGCATGTACAAGAGAAAATGCAAGTCCATGTGCTGTGACTGATATTTTATACCAAGGAGATTTTTGGGCAAGTATTTTGTTAGGAGAAAGCTACTTTCTACCTGTTATTTTGGTGATAAGGGATTATAGCTATTAATGTTTCGTTTTTCTTCATAGAACCCCTGCAGCTGGGCTTTAATTTGTTTGTTTTCTGTATATTTATGTAACTACTGAAAACACTGGGAAGTTACTTTAGTGATTATTGCAAATTTCAGCTGCTAATCATTTTGAATGCTCAATATCAAATTAAATGTAAACTGTAGCTCATACTATTATTTCATGCTATTTATTTTCAGTTAATAGTACCCCCTTACCAAGGAAAAGTTTTCCACAAGTCTTTCTCACTTCCCAGTTCTCCTTCAGTGTGTTTTATCTGTTTTGCCTGTTTCTAACCAATTTACATCTGGAAATTACTTAATCAGGCAGCTCTTTTCCTAAGCATTAAAACTTGAATTTTGAGAACTTGAGTTTTATTCCACTACTGGAAGTACAGCCTGTTTATTGGCTAATTTCTACTGTGCCCTTGGAACATAAATGTATTTTTAATATATGCAGTTAAGGGGAGAGTATTTAATGAAATAGTTTCAGTGATGTCATCATCTAAGTTTATTTTTTGTTGCTACTGTGTAAATAGTATTTTTTACTTTAAGGTCGAGACCTTTGATTATATTTTGATAACCGTTAATTTCAGTTGGAGTTTTACTCTGGGATGGAAGGAATCCAACTATTTCTAAATACCACAATGTGAAAATTACTTTGATAGTAGATTTTTTTTTTCCTGCTACGTGCAACTACAGGCATCCAGTTCACTTGGTGTCTTGCTGAATTGCAGTGCAGTTTTAATCCCTTCTCTGACTATCCAAATAAAAGTGTCTTTGCACAGCACAGCCAGTGCTGGTTTCTGGTTTGCTGTTTGGTTTTAATGTGGAAACTTTTTTTTTATTTCTTCTTGGAAAGAACTTTTTTGTCTCAGTTACATTGCTATTGTCTGTTAAATTGCATGGAGAGCTATTTCTCACTCAGTTCCCAAAGGAGTTGGTGGCAGGAGGTTTCTTCCAACCTAAATCATTCTCTGGTTCTAGATTATGGGGGAGGAGTAGGGGGTGTAAGGATGGAATTCTATTTTTTATTGTATTTTTTCATTAATTTTTGTGTTGGCAAGAGTGAGACTGTAAATGTGACTGTGTATTTAGGCAGGATAGGCAGCATTAAGAATGTGCCTTATGAGAGTGTAATTAAGGATCATATTCCCCTATCCTGGAAGGGCTCTGCCTGTGGAGCTGAATAATATAAGTATCTCTGCATCAATTTATGAAAAGTTTATGAACTTTTCCTATAGATGTAGTATTGAAACATTCCTGGTAACTTTTCTGACCTCTTGTTTGGTTTAGGCATCCCATTCTGGATTGTTACAAATGGTGTCTGCTTCATGTGTGGAGATTTGTTTTGTAGAATTTTAGACTCCTGGGGAAAAAAACATTTAGAATTTAAGCAAATAAATATAAATGGTAAAAAACCACAAGGCAATTAAAAATACTTATTATTATTTTGTGAAAAGTAAGTAAAACATTTTTATGAATCCTGTCTTTGAGATTAACACTATTTTCAATGCCTCCCAACAGCACAGGGAGTTTGTTGCCACACTGTTTTAGTTTGAAGAACCAAACTAAACTTTAGAATTTCTAAACTTTGAAGAAGTTTATAAGAACACAAAAAAAGTCACTTTTATCCTTTGATCCTTTCCTGTAGTTCATGTGTTTCTTTGAAAACCATAAAATTCTTTACTCTGTCTTGAAACACAGATGCAGTTTTTCCTGAGAGCTCTGCTGAAGGGAAATTGGGAAGAAAAGTGAAGCAGTTGAGGGATGCCAGGAGTGCTTTCCAAGATCAGTTTGGTGGGGAGGAACCACTGCTATTTCAAGCAGTTCATTTCTGGTGTCATCTGCAGCACGGACAACACCAGCAGCAAATTGCTTTGCAAGGATTTCTTCTTTTATACCTGACTGCAAGCCCAAACTTTTCTTTAGATGCTTGAGTATATTCTTGAGCATTGTTCATGTAGATTTCTATGTTGTTGATCATCTGCCCTTGCTCCTCGACCAGAAGTGAGATCTGGATAAAGAGTTCTTTCACATCTTTGATCTGGTTCTCCAGATTGACCAGTTCTTTGTGTCTCTGCTCAATCTCTGACAGCTGAGCTTTCGTAATCTTGACTTCAGTGAGCAGATTTTCATTGAAAATCTCCCACTTTCCTTGCTGGAGCATGTCATTGACCTCATCCTCAGCCAGCTCTTTGCCAGCCACCTCGAGCTGGCGGAGGATGAAGGTCCTGCACTTGTCCTGCTTGGCGGTGATGGCCTCGTTGTAGGCGAGCATGGCGTGCAGGTAGCGGTGGGACAGGAAGGCGTGCTGGGCCGCCAGGATCCTCACCGCGGCTCGCGCTGGCCCCTGCTCGCTCTCAGCTCTCCTCACTGCTTTGGCCAGCTCATCCAAACCCCTGCGCACGTGCTCTGCCTGCACTTTGATTTCCCTGGCTATGTTCGACTCCTTTTTGAGAACGCTGAACCTTCTCATGGAGGACACGAGGCTTTTTTGTTGTTGGCTGAATTTATTGACTTCTTCCACCAGGTTATTAATTTCGTTCTGAAGCTTCTGGATTTCGTGCAAGTGCCTTTCAGTGATGGGCTCTTTTTCATAAATAATGGCCTGCTGTTCAAACTCCTCCTGCTCCTCTTCTTGGACAGTTGCACCATTGTTTTCTCCTCCCATCTGTAGTTCCTTAGCCCTCAGTCTGAGCTCTTGCAGACGGTCTCTCATGGTTTTTGTGGTCAGGATTCTTTGCTGCTTTTTTCTTCTCCCCTCTTGCAACACAGGAAGTTAATTCCAGTATCTTTGTTGTTTGGTTTGTTTCATTGCACTGTAATCAAAATGTAACAACAATCAGTGTTAGTGGTTATACATATATATGAAAAGTAGTTTTGGGATCAGAGCTACTTCTCTCTGCACCAAAGTAAAAGCAGCAATGAGTTGGAATGGGGGGTACTCTGAACAAGTTGTGATTTGTAGCCCAAGGCCATTTTTGAGGTATATTTGTGAACTGAGACTGGAGAAGTGTGGGGAGGTAGAATGTTAGAAAATAAAGATAGTGCAGAAGTACCCTGATCATCTCACCCCTGATGAGTTGCAGCTGTAGTAGTTGCTAAAGATGAGGAACAGGCCCCAGCTGTAAGGATGAGTGCTGTAAAGGAGTGGGTTTGCTGGAAGAAGAGCTGGAGTTTGTTGGTTGTGCTGTGAAGAGCTGCCTGTGAGACATCACCAAGAAGGTATGGAACTTTTGAAATAAGATGACAACAGAGAAGACTTTTAATTTGGGGAGGAAGAGAGAAGTCACTCCAATTACTTTACTGTTACTCTTTACTTGGTGAAAACGAATCAACTTATAAATCTTTCTGGAAGTAGAAGTGAGTGTGGCTGTGCCATTTTTGGATTCTCAGTAGGAAATATTTCAGTTTTTGAGATTAAGAGACAGACTTTGTAACAAATCGGCATTCTGGCATGAATTAAGATTATTAATTTGGCCACACTCAAAAACCTTTCTCCATTTTCCTTGCCTGGGGAGTTAGATAGTAACTGAAGCAGTTAGCTACAACAAAACAGAAAAACAGATCCCTCATCATTTCAGAACTCTAATAATTTAGCATGAAAACAAATTAATTTTTTATGTTTGAGCTTTTATGGAGTTGAATCCATCTCACTGCTGTTGCAGCATGAAGATTTTCTAAGCCTTTTTGAATTATTGTTATCTATGCTTACACTGTCATTTACTTTCTTCATAAAATTGATGCAAATGTGCATTGTGAACCACAGTGAGCCCTAAGTCAGTGCTGCTTCTTATTTAACAGAAAGCAGATTTAGTTTTGTTTTGTTCCCTAGCTGTTGTGCAAGCTTTACTGGAGAGATAATTAAGAGCAAGCTATTTTCTAAAACACGCCCAATGGAAACTAAGTTCAGCTATTTTTAATCATAGGGATGAAGGTATTTCTCTCAAACTCCACATAAATGATTTCCTTGGACTGTGATCAAGAATGGAAGATTTCAGTAAGAAGTAACATGTTCAGGACTAGAAGATTATGGGATTTTTATTGAAGGTCTTCTGGTTCAATCAGATGTGTGGCTTTCAAAGGGCTGTTAAGCATAAAGGTTAAACAGCACAGTAGTGTCTTTTGGCTGTTTCAGAGCTTTTAGGGCTGTTTCCTGAAATAGTAGCATTAAATAGGTAAATCATTTAAATCTTATTAAACCCTGATTCTACAGATTTCATTTTTTCTTAGCAAGCAAATGTAGGATTTCTTAATAGTATCCAAAAGATGCATTTTTAGAAACTGCAAAGGGTTTATCCAGTAACCTGTCAATATGCAAATGATTCTCTTCTATTTGAACAGTTCCAAATGATACTGCTGTGCTATCTCTGCTCTCCCATGCATATTTCAACTCTCTAAATAGATTTTTCTGCAAGTCATGGAGTTGTGCAGTGTGGACACGTCTTCACAGACTTAAATCTGACTTTTTGCAGAAGGATTAGCTGAAAAACAAAACTTGAAATGCTTCAGAGGTCAGTCGTGAGAAAGAATGTTGATATTCTACCCTTGTGTGAATTTTCTTTACTGCTTTTTTTTCCCCCAAATGCCTTAATATTTGAATTTAGTGTTTGTTGATTCACATCAAGAGAAGACTTGTGATCAGAGTTTACAAGTTATTTATTGGGGAGTGTTATTCTCAGGTGAGGAAAATGCAAAATGTGTTCATTTCATGACAGTACTGCTTCTGCACTGCTGAGTTTTTCAGTGGATGTCCCCATGGCAGAAGCAGGCAGTTTCTGCCTGATAACATTCTTCAGGAATGTTCCAGAGCTGCTTGGCACCACCAACAGGGAAAGTTCAGCCTGGGGCATGTGAAAGGACCCAGGGCTTCAGAGAGTGACCTGAAAATCTGTTCTAGTCCAGCCTCACACATCTGCTGACCCATGCTAATTTAGCAGGGCTGGGCAAACCTGGGATTACAAGCAAATTCTAAGGGCACCATTAATGCTTATGCTGTGAGGTGACAAGAATTTCTTGCATCCAAGGGAATTGCTGCATTGCTCTTGAAATAGCTGTGCTCCTTGGAGTTGGAGGGAGGAACCTCACAGAACTGCAAAACAAATCTGCAAATATTGTTAAATATCAGAGAAGTGAGCAGAAAATACTGGAGTTTTTTTTTTTTTTTCTTGTTTAAAGATCAGTCTCACAAAAGACTGGAATGCAAGCAATTGAATCTTGGTTTCATATCTTCTCTACTGTTGGGCTTGCCTTCAAAGCCTGCCACTGAACAGGCTTGCCAATAATTGTGCTTGATTACAGTGGCAATTGGAACACATGCTGGTTTCAAAGAAATGAGGATGTCTTCATGACAGAGATAACCTTGGAAATTGTTGGCTTGGCTCCTTGAGTGTTCCACAACAAGCTCTGTTCTTTTACTGAGTCCTTGTTTTCTCCTGTGTTTGTATATAGGGGCACATCCTGTTTTTCTTTCGATTGAGATGAAAGCACTTCACTTTCCTTGAAGTTTTTGTCAGTAAAGGGAGAATATGCCCATTCTTTAGAGTGGAGTAAATGGAATATGTGGACTGAAAGCACTCCAGTGACTTAGTGTGGCCCCTACATTCACTGCCCAGTGCAGTGGTTATCATGCAAAACCCTTGGTAATTAAGTTGGTTCTTCTTGAAGCACCTTTATTTATAGCCATATATAGTTGGCAGGTTCAAAAATGCATTTTTCACATCCTTGTCAAATATATTTTAAGGGTATTGCAAGAGTCTTTGCCTTCTGATAACCTAACTGTGTTGCTTCTCAGAAACAGGGTTGTGTGAATCTCACAATTTAAATGCCATGTGTGACTGGGGAAGTCTTGATAAATACAATTACCTCAGCACGCTGACTGGGGGAATAATAGATCCTGGTAGCTGGACCACCATTAGAATCTGTCATCATGATAAAATATGTCTAGAACTCAAAGATAATGAGTTTGACAGAAATGAAATTTTTTATATTATCTTCTTCACTTAAAAAAAAAATGGTAAGATGAAAGGTCCACTTGCTTAACTGCAAAGCAACCACATAGAATGTTCTTCCACCTGTATGATAAATTTATGAGTAGACTCAGGAAACATGGAGCCTACATCCAAAAATAAGATTTGGCCTACATTAAGTTAAAAGACATAATTAGGTATGTGAAATAAGAAAGTTAATTATATGGAATTCCCTTGTTTCTGGTTGTACTTGGGTTTATTGTCTTCTAATTTGGCTTTTTTGGATTGTTTTATTTCTTCCCCAGTCCCCAAATTACCAAAGCCTCCTGTTCATTTTAATTTCTTTAATTTTGATTACTATTTCTTAGTTATTCAGCACTTTGATTAAAATGCCTGTCAGCAAAGGCTCTGTTTCTATTTGATCTTTGATACAATTTGCCACCTCACCTTGGTTTTAGTGTATTCTAGAGAAGAGGACTTGCAGGCAATCAAGGAACAGAATCCTCTCTTTAAGAGCTCCTTGATATCTGTGTTCTGGCTCATGCTGCCTTCTTTACCTGTGCTGAAACTGCTGGGTTTTTGTTTGTTAGTGGCTCTTTTTTGGGGGGGAGGGTTTTTTGGTTTGGTTTTTTTTTAAATGACTGCCCCAAAAATAAGGGTAGGCTTGTTTTCCCAACCCTTAGCTATGAGTCAGTTAAGGGCACTGGGTAGGCTTTCAGGCAGTGTGTCCCAAGGGAACTTCATGTTACATGTAATCCTAAAGATTTTTAAAATTATTATTTCTTATTCATTTCCAAGCTTCAGTGGAATTGCATTACAGCCCTGTCATGTGGTGCCAAGAAACCCATCTAACTTTTTTCTGAGCACAATGGCAATGAGGAAATCTTGGAGTCATACTTTGGAGCTTGATTTCTGCCTAAATGTCTTAAGTTAGCAACAAGAAATTAGTGAGACACATATTATTAAAATGGTTCTAGTTTAAAATCCTTACAGTAGGCTTTGGGTAAAGCTGGTGTTTTGAGTTGAAATTCAGTTTGTGCTCTCTCATGTTCTCACAAGGAAAGAAGGCACTTGTTGGGTGGTGTTGTGAAATCTTGCCCTGTTACTCAAAGATGTATCTGAAGTTACTAAAGTAGGACATCTTGTTATAAGTTAGATTTAGTTTCTCCTTTGTTTGTAAAGTTTCCTTTAACTTAAATACCTTGTAAACAAACCTACTTAAACCAAGGATTAGAAGACACAAGGTGGTTGGATGAAAATATGCTCTTAAGCATCTCTGGTGTAAGATAAGTCCTTGGAAAAACATACTTAAAAATAGTTGTACCTTCAGGTTTCTGTTTGTGGAAAGTGTGGGAGTGGTTTAACAAGAAAATACCAAAGGCAGAGAGCTTTCCCTGCCTAAAAATATGCCACAGATGAGATGAGAGTGCACAATCAGTAACAGTTTGAGCAAAGAGGATGATCACAACTCCTCTCTGGGCAACCTCTGCCAGAGCCTCCCCACCCTCACAGTAAAGAATTTTGTCCTAATGTGATGTAAAGCTTTTCTCTTGCATATAAAACACTTTTGCCTTGTCCTATCACTATGTAAAAACTGCCACAAGACTTCCCCAGGGAAACCAAAATTATCAGAACATGCAAGAATAGAAATGCTGCATCTGAAGCAAGGTAGCTTGGAATTGTCTAATTATTGTGAAATGGATTGTGGGAGGGGGAGAAATGTGGATATTGAGTAAAACCAAGAAATTCAAATACAGTGAAGCAGACGTGAGTATTCAAAGAATTTAGAAGGTGGGGAAGAATTAGGCCAAAGTTCCTGTCCAAGTGTAGCTAAATCATGCTGTTCTGGAGTGAGCTTTCCAAGAGACATGGAGAGAGGGAGAAGAGACTCAAGATGTTCTTGGACCTTGAACCACAAATCTGTAACACAGACTGTTGGAGGAGATGTATCTGTCTTGCATTGGTGTTTTGCTATTTTTGAAGTATTCGGTTCAAAAATACCAAAAGTGAATCAGCTGCAAATCTGAGCTTGTTCCTTGGAGTTTTGACATCTTTGTTATGATTGTGTGGCTGCAGATGTAGACTTGGGGAAAAGCATCTGCCAGCATTCCCATGTCTGCAGTCATTCCTGCTGATACTTTGGGTAGTAGAAGATGAGGAGTTCATGCTTTGGCACTGACATAATTTCCAGTGAGAGTGATGGACACTGCACCTCACTGACAAAACAATGATCTCACTCTGCAAGTCACTTAGTCTGCAGCTAATTCTCTGTAATTGGTAAGAACTTCATGTTTTGATGGTGATTTTTTTCACCTGTTTAACCAGAGATCTGCTGTCAGTGATGTTCTTTAAGAATCCTCACAAACCTAGAGGTCACAGAAACCTAGAAAGTCATGATCTCCTCTGCCCAAAGATCACTTCATTAAGGTCCAAATATTGATATATTTTAAAGCAGTATTTGCAAGTAAAATAGGAACAAGAGAAAGGGCTGCAGCAGGATAGAGTACAGGTGGGGTTGTTTCCATTTAATAGGATATGTAGTTTGAATTCATGCTTAACAGCTTTGTATTGCTCTGAGTGGTGTGAGAGATTTGTCTTCCTGACAGTAGAAATGCAGCCTCAGAATCTGTGCTGTGCACCATCCCACCTGCTTTACATTCCCATTTCATCTCTGTCAGACCACAGAGCTGCCTATCACAGCCTTGCAACTCGCCTGAAATAAATGTAAGGCAGTTTTTAAAAAAAAAACAACATAGAGGCAATTTTACTATACTTAGTTTGCCTATGGCTTGATATATCAAGGTGAAATAAGAGTATAAGAAATCAATTCACTTCTTTTTTTTTAATCTTGTCCAAAAATATATTGTTATATCACTTACTTATAACAAATATATTGTTTTGGAATTACACATGTGGAAGCTGAACATAACTTGCTTTAGGTGAGCTCAGCCATGGTTGGCTGCAGCCTGTTTGACTAAGAGGTGGGATTGAACTGATAGCAGAGCAGTGTGTCACCAAACATTTTCTAAATAGGAACATGATTCAGACCTGTGGTGAGAATGAGGCCACTTAAGAAAATGAAACTAATTATAATTGCTGTTCTTATGACCAGTTCAAAAGCTAATAGGAGACTAAAGTTGCCTAGAGATATTGTACACAGGAGTAGTTTAGAATCTTAGTTTTAACTGTTCTCTTATTTAAAAGTGACCTGGAGGAACTGTCTAGGGAAAATGTTGACTTATTGAAATGTCTCCTACAGCTCCCTGAAGTTGCATGAAAGCAGGCCAACAACCTTGTAGCACTTTAATCACCTTTTTCTCATTACAGTTTACCATAATATTCAAAGTATTGTTTTGCATGAGAATTGAAGGTATGAATTGAAATTTAGTCCTTTAATTTGAGAGAGAGCCACGTGTTAACAGTCAAAATTTACTGATAGGCTTCTCATTGTCAGCAACCCAGAAGGAGCAGGGGCTTGAAATGCTAAAGAAGAATGTGCTTGAGGATTCTGTCAACAATTCCATTTAGAAGGCAATCTGCAAAAAATCATCTGATAGAGCAGGCTCAGAATTTCATCAAGAGTGCCTTCTGTGGGCCACTCGAAACTCTTGGTCTGTTCTTCTATTGGTTTGTTAAAAGTATGAAGAATTATATTTTCCATGACTTCCTCAAAAACCTCGTGAACTGCCAATAAATGAAGAAGGAACAAGCAAAACAAGCAGGCACTTATTTTTGCCTGTGTGTGGGTCAGGAGTTTGACTTTCATGGAAGTTAACATAAGCAACGCATAAAAAGGAAGTTTTTCAGGCTGCATCTGCTGAAGGCTCGCTTCTTTGGAATAAAGCATCCTTGTGATGGCTGTCCACAGGATTGCTCAAGATAAAGGTTAATGGATGAGAGATAAAAATTCCAAAGGGAAAAAGGGTAGAGTGGTATTTTTAAATAGAAGATTCACTGTAGAGTGAAGAATATGGCATTGTTCTTTCCCCTTGTTTAGACTGCTGTTAATTTCAAAGGTTCTGGCTTTGTTTTCCCAGCTAATTCCATCCCTTAAAGCTAGGACTTCTTGAAGTAGCCTTAAAGTCTGATCTTGATCGTAGGTAAACCATTCTCATCAAGTTCATTTTCCTATAGTTGCTCTCAATCATGGAGGTTGTTCTGATGCTGTCATATTTTGACCTTAGGGATGCTTTGCTCTTCATAAATTTTGATGGACACTCTGCAGATCTGACACAAAATTTTGGGGTTGTGATCACTGCTTCTAAATAAATATAACCCCTAAAGTAGCGTATCTGAGACATTTTTACAGATTTTGTATTGCCAAGTAAACTTTTAATACTGCTTTGGTTTCTATTGGGGTTTTTTTCCACTGTTTGTGCAGTAATTGAGATTTTTATAGGCAGGTCAAGGAACTTCCATAGCATTCAGACTTTGTTTTTCTCTAGCAGAAGTGGCTTCTAAGAGAAATATTGTCACTGAGCTGTAGATGCCAGTTGTGCCAATGCACACATAACACTCCCTTTCCACATTGTTTCCCGTGACTCCTTAAGTTGAAGAGCTCTCCAGTTGCTCAGAAAAATCCCACTTGATCTAAAAGCAGTAGGTGCCAACTTTCTCTTTATTTCTTGCATGAGGTCTGTTACACTAAGACAGTTCATACATACTGTATGTGAAACTGAAATAAGCCAAGCATGATTTTATAGATGAAAGCTTCTTACTGAGCAAACTTAATATGATAAACTAACAGCCACTCGGCTGTGCTTTCAAGTATGTTTTGATATATACCTCCTACAGGTTTTTAAACATGAAAAATTGCTATATATGAAGTTGAGCTGACTTGGAAAATTAAAATCAAGGTCTGTCTTTTAAGATAACTGATATATTCCCTACAGAAGGGGTTTGTTTTGCATAAAACTTGCCTCAAACCCTGGTATTCCTGTGAAAGAGCAGCAGAGCTGTGAGTCCATGTTCACCCACAGAAATACCGAACTCTTTGCAGTAGTAAGAGTAATAAGGCAGACCTGCATTATTTTTATGTCTTGACACTTAGGCACATTTCCATTCTAAATCCCTCTACAAAGAGTTTTTCTGATGTTTGTAAATTTATAAACATTAAGTAAGAGAAGAGTGTTTACCTCTGAATCTTGTGCTGGTGGCTTTTACCCTTTACACAGGAACTCCTGAGGTTAAGCTTCAGTATAATCCCAAAAAACATTTTTCCAGAATATTCCCTAGGCAACTTGTCTTGAGTAACATTCCATGAAGTATTTCCTTCATTCCTCCTAATTCTTCTGTCGCCGTCCGAGCGTGATCATCCTCAGGAGCGCTAGGTAGAGTGAGAGAGAAACTGCCTTTTGCAACTGCAGGACAGGCAAATGGATTACTCGGTGCCTGGGGAATCTGGTCGTGCCTGTTTGAAAGCCAGCCCTGCTGGAGGCGGATCCCTCGCAGTGCCAGGAGCAGGAAGTGCCTTGGAGCAGATCCCTTTAGGAGCTGTGAGTGCAGCACTGCTTTCCTTGGAAGCTCCAGTGTCACTGCAGGCTTTGCTTTCTTCTGCACCAAAGCGTGGAGGGAAAAGGAATTACTGAGGGTAGGTGTGTCTGTTCATGGGGATAAAAATAGCCCCTACAGATAATGCATTTTACTGCAAAATACTTGAAGTCTGTTTAGAAGTTTGACCTAAAGTCTGAAGTGAGCAGAGGGGTCCATCAGTAGATGGACCTCAGCAAAACCACTTCACTTTCTGGGGAGAATAGGCAGAGAGCTGCTTTTCCAGGTACAGCACCTCAGCCGTGGTTTTGTTAGTATTGCTGCAGAGAAAGTGGAAGCTAATTGACCAGAAAGACAAACATGACACCTTTGAAGGTGTTAGAGGTTAAAAATCAGCAGCTACTGCGAGCTGTGGGATGTTAGTGTCAAACTGCCACTGAGCTATGCAGCTTACCAGCATTTCATTCTGCTTCAGCTGTGCTTTGTAGGCTGTGCAGGGCAAACATAGTGCAAATAGTGCAGTTATTTAATCTTCAGGTGAGAGAGGAATAGGCTATGGCAACAAACACTGCTCAGAAATATGTCCTTCAATTAGCTCTAGATGAATTGACAGCACTGCTGAGGAATGCTTTTTGAGTCTAAGAGGCAGCACAGTAGGATTTTCAGACTGGAACAAAAATAGGTTATGTGGGGGAGAAAAAAGTGGAGGTAACTTTTTTCCAGTCTTAATTACTATTTTTTGCATTGCATCTCAGTTTTCCCCTGGTTTAGCTTTGGTTTCATAGCTGAGAGGACAAGTCTTATTCTAGCTGGTTGGTAAAAAGAAGCAGTGCCAGAGTATTGTAAACATGCTGAAAGTATCACAGGTTCTGTATCTGCATTGAGCAGCAGTTGGGAAATCCCTGCACTACATCATACAAAGCACTGCACAAGTTCTGTCTTTAAGAAATGGGAATTCATTATCAAGGAAGGGCAGGGAAGAGCTTTATGCTCTTATCAGCTCTGCAGGCCAAACCAGCAAAGTTCTAATTATCATTAAGATGTAGGGATTTTTATCTCCAGGATGATGATAAATAAGTGAATGGTTTGGACCGCAAATAGTTAAGAATGGTGAAGATTGAGAGAGCCTGGACATTTGAGAAGCTGCTTTTCTATGGTCTCCTTCATAAACAAATTCTTCTTGAAAAGGAAGATGAAAGATTAGATAATGAATCGCAGCTCATGAGGGTAATGGTGACAAGGAATGTGGAGTTTTGGGCTGTAGATGCAACACAGCTTTTTTCTAATGTTTTTGATGCTGAGAAATCTCTTGGGAGTGAAACAATTAAGAATTGAAGCTCTCATACTGGGATTCTGGAGAATAGAGACAAGTAAGGTCTTCGATCACATTCAAGTGCTGACAAGTTCTGGTAACTGTGGAGTGAGTTCTTACCACTGTTCCTTTCCAGCAAGGAATTAACATAAATTTGAAGTACAAGCTTTGGCCTAAATTCCCTAAAAACCATTTCAGTTAATTAAAATGACTTAAGATTTCAGGAGGAAGGCTATGATGTCTGGTTCCAAGACCTTCTGCCCCTGAGCTCATGGATGCCAAATATTTCTTTTCCTATCCAGAAAATGTCGCTGAATTTCAGAGGAATATTATTTTAGTGGAATTCCTTTATTAGAGAGAAGCAAGTACAAATTTCGTATTTTCTAATAGTGCTATGCAGAACTCTAGTTTGGATTATTAATGTTCTAAAAAGTGCAAAATAAGGATTGTAAATTAATGTCTGTCTTCTAGAGTACTGTTTCCTATCATATATAATTGACAGGACACTGATCTTCATCTTACAGAATACTTACTTTGTGAGTTACATGGGAGTCTTGCTTTCCTCCATTTAATAAAATATAGTTTTTAGAGCCCTTCATGCAAGTTCTTCCCTCTACACTTTAAGTTTTACTCAGGAAGAGCAAATTCAAAACATTGTTAAGCATCAGAGAGAAATGCTGGGTAGCAGGAAGAGCTGAGATGATCCTGAAGCACTTTTAAACAGGGAAATGCTCACAGTTTGGGAAGTTGCAAAACTGTGAACTTTCCTCCAGAGACTCCAAGATGTAAAGCAGGATGGTCTTTTATGTCCATTTTCTTAACTGTAAATATAATTGCTTTCTCTAGAAATAATATTAATTTATTACTAAGCAGCTTGGTGATTTTCTAACAGGATCTGATTAAAATGGTGCATAGGCTAACATGCTTATTGAGTAGAAGAAATGATTAAAGCTGAAACAAGGAATTTCATCTTCTCTTTCTCAGTCTTCTTCCTAGTTTTGTCACCAGCTCAGCTTTTGGAGATGTGAGAGCCTCTCTTGTAGCAGGATGCTGAGTGTTTGTTTTGATCTTCCCTCCAGGCTGGCAAATAAGCAGGACAGAGAAGGAGCTCTGTCAGAAGCAGATGTGATCGAGTCCTTATCTCTGGAAAGGCTGGTTAATGAACACAAGTGTCTCTGTCAAATTGTAAGTAGATTTTAAGATACTCTATTTTCTCATATCTGTGTAAAGCTCCCATTAAGGTAGGAAATTAGGCTACATGGCATAAAACTGAAATTTAGATGTAGTATTCATTGTCCTGTTAAGAAAAAACCTAGCAGGAAGTCATTGTGGGGGGAACCAAAACCAGGAGTCTTTATGAAAGCTGCTTAATATTGGTCAATATTTCAGATAATATATCCAAATTAGTAGTCCCTGAAGTTTTGCTTTAGGCCTTTGTTTTAATCTCCCAGTGTCTTAGATAGGGCTTTACTTCCACAATCTTTTCCTGATGGCAATAAAAAACATTTGAAAGATAATGAGGGTTATGGTGTTATTAACCAAGATAAGAAGGCAGTTTTGCAGAACCACTTAAGCTTTGGATTTTAAAATTAAAAAATAATTTTAATTCATTAGGGAGATTTGCAAAATTCATAGAGCACTACATACTGCTATTATTTTCTCTAATAGCTGAGTTAGAGCAGGGCATAGCTCTGTTTATTATGTCATGATTATCTGAGTGTTTTTCTTCTGTTAGGGAGCTTTGCACTATGCACATATAGCAATCATAAAAATTAAATTTGCAAGTTCATCCTTGTTTTTTTTTCCAAGGACCTTCTGTGCCAAAAAATGTTTTCTTGAAAAATATTCAGTAAAAGATGACCTGGAAGATACTAGTGTATTCCAATACATCTGAATTGTTTAATTTCTGACATGCTGTTCTTGTTCTTTATTTACATTTTATGTGTAATTAGGAAAGACACCAGATCACACACTCTTAGGAGTGTTTCATACTCTAATGGACACCTTCTTTACCAGGCTCTTCCAAGATAAACATGGTCCCAAATTCCTTCAGTAGGGGAGCTCCTGGGGTCAGTTTAAACAGAGGCATTGGGAAACAAGATGGAAAGTTAGGCAATGACCAAAAAACCTTTTGTTTCTTCTTGTAGTTAGTTTTCCACTGGATCTTTAAATTTCACCACAAAGTATTAAAGCAAAAGGAAAGAGTAATTAGTCTTGCTGTTGGACAGTGTCAATGAGAATGATCTTCCTCTTTTTCTTATTTAATATGTCTGTATATTCCATTTTTCTGAATTTTTATATTTTGTAACCAAACTGCAGCAACAATAATTTTGGTGCAAACTGAGAAGAGCATTGCCCCGGTGCTGGCCAGTATTTGATCTCAGTTTTCTGAGAGAAACAAGTTGTATACATCTTCTATACATATCCTTCCTGAGCAGGTTCTGCTAGAGGGTATTGCAGGGTTCCACAGTGAAAAGGACTCAAATATGAGCCTTAATTTAAACATAACTGGTCAGTTGTTTTTTTTCTGTTCTAAATTGTACATTTCATATCTGACTGTGGTGCCATTTAAATCCTTGTCAGATGGAGAAAGCACTGAGGGTTTTTTCAGATGTTTGCATTGGAGAAGCTCTTTTAATCTTGATAAACACAAATCCTGGACACGATCAGTGTGAAATATCATCTCTACATGTCACACACAGTGCTGGTTCTATTCAGTTGTTACTCAGAGAATGTTTTAAAAGACACATACAGTGTTCCAAAACAATCTGGAAAACAGCTCTCAGGAGATTCTGAGAGAGTATTGTTTCCATGTTCCAAGCTTGAGTCAAGTCCTGCCTCTTTTCTCCCAATTAAAGCCTATTTTACTTGTCCTCCTGACATGAAAAATTAAGAGGAAATTATTTTTTTCCTATTTGCAGTTTCACCTTATGTTTTTGAAGGCTATTGTCCTATCTCCCTGAAGTGCTTTAATCTCAAGAGAGGCACTCTTGGTCCTTCAGTGTTTTCTTACCAGATGTGTTCTCAGAACAGTTTCAGAACTATTTTCTCAATGAGGTTTGTATTTCTCTTTCAACAGATTTGCCTAGATCATGTTTCTCTCACTTGCTGCTGAGAGTCTAATGACAAAAAGCATTACTCCAATTGAATTGCAGTGCCTGTTCTGATGTAAAAAATTGGTTTGACAACTTTTCTGTCAAATTCACAGGAGATTTTATTTACCCCCGAGGTGCTTATGAACATGTTGAATTTTTTTTCATGAACTGAAGCAAAGCTGATTCTCTTTGATCTCAGATTTTTCCATTGTGATTGATAAATCTAGCATGGACTATTCATAACCCATAATTCAAACCCCAAGTGTTTTACAGGCTTCACAGTCAACAGTCATTGTTCAGCTAATTTCTTGTTTCCAGTCAAGGAATGTGTTCTGAAGTGCAAATGTTTCCCTCCTTTTCCATACATTTACAGGAGCCTTGCTCAGCGATCATGGGCTGTGGGAAAAAAATTGACAAATCAATCAAAAAGGGATTATTTTGGCTTCTCCATATCATAGCAAAAGATTTTGATGCCTTAAGTGAGCGTATCCAGAGAGACACTACAGAGCAGAAGGCACTCGAGGAGCAGAAGAAACTGGAACGAGCTGAGCGAGTCAGGAGGATACGGGAGCAGAGGTATTTCCTGGGATCCCCACTCCATCCCTTCCTCCCTTCTCTGAGATATCTGGGCTGTTCCTGTGCATGGATCTTATGGGAAACAGGCTGTCCAGGATTTAAAGCTCACAAGCTTGAAGTTTTTGCCTCTTCATCCCCTTTATTTGATTTGCTGCATGCTGGAAGTGTACTTTGAGAGTTGTGGGATAAATTTGGCCTTACTAATGTAACTTCACAGAAGGCTAACCTAAAAAATAATTCCTGTGGTTTAATCTGAAGTTGTCTTCTAAAATAAAGTATTAAGTTAGACTCTCTAACCCATATGTGAATATCAAAGACTAGATATGAAAATTTATTCAATACTATGCTCAGTAAACTTCAGGATATCCAACAGGTGAGGCATGAAGGAACTAAAGATGATGCAGTGAGGGAAAGCAGGATAACTGATTTATTACTCCCCTTCAAATCCCTTTCTGGCCTTTAGCAGCCTGCTGTGGTGCCTGTGAAGAGGTGATGTGAATAATTTACTGGGGCATTCTTAAAATATTTGCTGAGCACCCCTGTTCTCTCCTCTGCCTTATGCAGGCAGAGAATTTGAGGCTCCGTTACTGTGAGAAGTAGCTGGGAAGTATCTTAGACTGTATTTTGGCTGTTTTGGTTCAAATAAGCAAGTAAATTACTAAAGTACATTTTAAACAGCTGCAACTTGACATGGTCTTCATTATATATATGAATTATATATATAATTCATATAGATTTCACAAATTTCTAAAAAATTGGTGGGCTCCTAATCTGCCACACACAAAGCCTCCTGACCATGTTGGATTGTGTTGGGTTTATGCCACACTGAGAGATGTAGTGGGGGAGGGCAGACGTTGTTCTCTATAAAATTTATGGCTTATTCGTAATTATTTATTCATTCTCTCTCTTTCCCCTCCCCTTGCCCCCAAAAAACACCCCCCAAAACCAAACACCAAAACCTCTGAAACAACACAAACCCAACAACAATGCTAAAGGGAAAAAGAGGAAGGAAATGCACCTGAGGAGGAAGACCCTGAGCCTGGGAAATGTGGAAACCCCTTCCAGCCAATATCTGCTGTAATCTCTGAGGTAGGAGAAATTGTGGAAATCTGGATCTGTTTAGAACTGCTACTAGCAAATGTCTGAGAGGCAATGAGAAAAAGGAAAGAGTTGTTCTAAGTCTGTCTGCACAGCCCTTTTTTAATTCTTGCTTTAATCTTGGCAGCCTTGTTTTCTGTGCATTGAATCAATGTTTTAGTGATAAGAAAACCTCTATTATTGATTAGGGAACAAAAGTTTTGTAGACACAGTAAAATAAATGTAAACACGTGACTGAAAACATTTCCTAATTAAACTCCTGGGATTCAGACGTGGAAAATATTCAAGGTCTATTAGTTTCTTCTGAGGTGTTTTAGTGATGTGGTTGAGTCATATCAAATCTTCCTGACTTCTTAATTTATTCAGATTTGTGAGCATAACCTCTTTTCAGTTGAAAATACGCTCTTGAGAATTTTTTATTAATTTTGAAATATGAAAATCACATTCATATTAATGTTTCCTTAACCTACATTTCTGAGTTCATATTTTTTTTTATTCAGTTGCCCGGAGATAACACAATCTAAAGAAACACGTAAACTTTTCCAGGAAGTAATTCAAACATTTGCTTTTTTCCAAGACAAAAGCACCCATATCCACAGAACATGTCAGGGCAGCTACATGCACAGTAATCCATTTAGTAATAACATCAAAAGCAAGAAAATAAAGTACAG